GACGCCACCCCAGCCATGGTGCAGCAGGTGAATGGATGCATGAACCAGCCGTTGCTTTAAAGCCATTACTGCACACTTCCAAATCCAAGGAAGCATGCAGAAAACATATGCAAGCATCTTTTCTTACAGTCTTTCTCATTTCTCTCACTCAGGGATGGGATGCCATCAGAATGTTTCAGGAATCTGACAAATTTTTCACCTCACTTGGTTTGGAGCCAATGCCGCCGGAATTCTGGAACAAATCTATGCTGGAGAAGCCGTCTGATGGACGCCAGGTGGTGTGCCACGCCTCTGCGTGGGACTTCTATAACCGAAAAGACTTCAGGTTGAGCCTAACCTTTTTCCCCTTCAAGCTAGAATCAAGAGACACGTAGCAGCCTGGAAGCCTTACCAAAATCTTACAGAATATCAGTAAAATCTCAGAATCTTTATATGATACTTAACAAAGGCACTCCCTGAGGAAGCCTGATAATGAAATGGGATGGCATGTACGAAAAACTTTTATAGTCTTCTTCTTTTCACGCATGTTCAGCTAATGTAAGAGCCTCATTTGCCCTAACATGCTGCTCCACTGTGGCATCCACCTCAAATCTTCTCCAACCCTTGATCATTTCTAATATAATTTCCAAACTGTTGGAGATTATATTATATGTCTCCTTCCTGTTGGGCTGCCACAGTTTGTCCTCAAAGAAAAACTATTGGCTCTGAGAAGGCAAAGATAGGCATGGCTAAGTAAAAGGGTATTTTTGTATTACTTTGGATATTGTTTTAGCAGAACATATAAACTATATATGTTTACTATGTCTATTATTAGTATTATTTGTGTGAGGTGGAGTCATGAGTTTGTCTTTGAAACATTTTCATAATTTGCTCTAATGATTTCTTTGGTTGCTTCTCCAGGATCAAGCAGTGCACTGTTGTCACAATGGATGACCTGATCACCGTGCACCACGAGATGGGCCACATTCAGTATTTCCTGCAGTACAAAAACCAGCCCGTGTCCTTCCGTGACGGAGCCAACCCCGGCTTTCATGAGGCCATTGGAGATGTACTTGCCTTGTCTGTGTCGACACCCAAACATCTGCAGAGCATCGGCCTCCTGGACAAGGTTGAGAACAACTATGGTGAGTGATGTTTGCAACAAAAGCAAAATCTTTGAATGCATGTTGCTGTATTACAGCATATGATTTTGGCATTGATAAACACCTCATTTAGAGAGTGACATCAACTTCCTGATGAGCATTGCACTTGACAAGATTGCCTTCCTACCTTTCGGCTACCTGATGGACCAATGGAGGTGGAAGGTGTTTGATGGACGCATCCCACACACCGAGTACAATAAAGAATGGTGGAACCTCAGGTAAAGTTTATATCACAGAAATTGCATTTATTGCATTCATAGATGATGATTCACTAAGGAATTATAACAAGCATGCATGCCTCTTTTCTTTGTATTGCAGATTGAAGTACCAGGGATTGTGCCCACCTGTAACACGCACTGAGGAGGACTTTGACCCAGGTGCAAAGTTCCACATCCCAGCTAACGTTCCCTACGTCAGGTAAGGCTTTCTGATTCTCAAGAACAAACGCATGTGATATTTTATCACCGATAAGTGATAAATGATTCCATACTCATCACCTCATCATGATTGATAAGATAAATATGCTGTGGAACACAACATGATCTTACTATTGTGCAGTAGCACAACTGTACACTGAGCATAGTGCTGACCCTACTTTTTTTTTTTATCATCTTCAATCAGGTATTTTGTCAGCTTCATCATCCAGTTTCAGTTCCACAAAGCTCTGTGTAATGCTGCCAAGCATAATGGACCTTTATACACTTGTGACATCTACCAATCCAAAGAAGCTGGAAAGCTCTTAGGGTTAGTACGCACACTTACACACACGCAAGTGGAGACGCTCATATGTATGCTATTTTTTTGTTTTCAGCACTGGCAGTTTAATTGTTTATCCGAGACATCCTTATTAGTTATCCTAGTCTTCTCTGACCTTCTCTCTAACCTTTCTATTGCTGTTTTCAGTGATGTAATGAAGCTGGGCTTCAGCAAGCCCTGGCCTGAGGCTATGGCTATGATCACTGGCGAGTCCAAAATGAGTGCCCAGCCACTCATGGAGTACTTCCAACCTCTCATTGAATGGCTTGAGAAGGAGAACAGCAAGAACAATGATGTTCGCGGGTGGCCAGATTACGACTGGAAGCCTTTTAGTATGTTAACAGAAACACATACATGTATTCACTCATCAAAACTTTGCTAATAAGTTTTCCATAGTCAAGGCCAAACGTTTCTGAACACCTACTCTGAAAAAAAAAGAAACACACATGGGAATTCTTTGTGTGTGTGTTTCTCCTCTGCTGCAGCTGAAATGAATCTCCTACTCATTTTGTTTTACAATGCACACACTCTGATTGAATTGATAAAAACATTACTAAGAAAGTGAAAGAAAGGCCCTGGTAGGGATAGTGGAGAAAAGTGAACGCATCTCTTATTGGAGAGATTAAATTATGAAACCAATAACTAGATGCAAAACTAAATGAATTAGTATGGAAATGATTTTTAATGCTGTTTAAAAGTATTAATTTCATTATTATCTTTCATTATTATTATCTGAAACTAGTACCAACATAGAAATGTTGTTACACATGTGCATTGTTACTCACAGAACAACAGCAGTTTTCTAATTAAGACATATCAACCTGCGCCACCTCTTGGTATGAAGAGGAATAGCTCTTGTAAATACCTAGCTACTGCTGGGCCTCTTGTTGAAGCAGCTTTTACTGATCTCTGTAGATGGAAACGTTTCTTCCCCATTGCTTTCCAAAATAAGCACAAGAAGAAGCCATTTGAAAATAACTGCACACGTACCCTTTATGTTTTAATTGCTGAGTGAAAAACAACCATTTAAACATGTTTGTATCCCCAACAGGTGAATCTCCAACAGGTGAAGCTAAAACAGTGGATTTCCTGGGTTTAAATGTGAACAGGTCGGCTGCCACAGTCGGCCAGTGGATCCTGTTGGCCCTCGGCATGCTGCTATTGGTGGTCACCATCCTTATGGCCTACATGTACAGGAAGGCAAGAAAGCCTGAAAAGTCCTTGTCTACTATGGAGCTGAAGCAAAAAGATTAGCCATGTTTGAAGACTGAACGACGAGAGTGAAGCCTGACTTACTGTAGCTGGCACAATACCAACCTCAATGTGAACATCAGTGTTTTTTGTGTACTGCACAACATCTGAACAAATTTGCTCCTCATGTTTTGTCTGCCTACCAAGTTTTGCATATTTATTGTATACACAAAAACACAAAATTCCTTACTTGCCTATGCAAAAGAACACATGCAATTTGTTTTTGTAATTTATTTGTAAGCTTTGATGTTAAAGAAGGAAGAGTTTTAAAATGAAAAAATGAAAATTTGTAAAGTCATTCATTGTGTAAGTGTTTCTGAATATTTGATTTTTTTCTAATAAGTTGGATCCTCAGCATTTCTACAATAAAGACATTAAATATTTATTCTGCCTCTGGAGACGTGACATGAATGAATTACAAAAGTTATTAAAAACAATTTCATTACAATAAAAAAAATGCACAGTAACATAAAAAAAGGCAACACCACACGATGAAAAAAAAAGAGCTTGTGCACTGTTTTCAGCCCTTTCCTCTTTACTCACAGAGTCAATACAACCTCTTTAGTGGCTACAGTTGCACAACAGAACACAGTACCTGCAGGCTCTCAGGTAACACACACTGGAGCAGTAAAGCAACACTTAGTCCCATCAGAGACTGTTTAATAACAGGCTTATAACAGCAGTCTATCATTACAGGTTTACCTTAACGGGGGCCACAGAGGCCTAGAAACAATCCAAGAGAAGGCTTACTGTCTTTTAAAAATACAAAGCTCAGTGACAGTGAGAAAACAAATTCATTAAAACAGTCAATTTAACGCAACTTGTTACTATATACAATTTATACGTACCTATGTATACTGGATCGTAAAGTCTCCACAAAGACATCATCCTACTAAACTAATCCAGTGTTGTGACTCCCTGTATGACATTCTTTAGATATGTATGTTAATGTATTAGCCTAAGATGATGTGATAAATAATACTCCCTGACTAAATCAACACACAGACATGAAGCTATTGCTTTCAACTTGTTACAAACCTGCTTTCGGCGTTCACTGCTGTGGAATTCAATGCAGGAAATTACAGTGCATCCGCTGGGGCTGTTTATGCATTTGAGGCTAGCGCCAAAACCATTCCAACGCAAAGTCAGGGTACATTTGATGTGAACATTCACTCATAAGAGAGCGGCTGCTGGTCATTATTTTCTAAGTGTAGGGGTTGAAAATGATCTACAAATCAGCTTATCTTGAATTAAATCCCTAACAGAGTCACTGACTCCTGACCACAAAGTGATAGAAGCAGAAAGGACATTTACAATCACAGATTAAGATATATACACTCAGAATAGATATGGAAATAGGCACGGTGTGAAACAGCACAACAAATGACCAGCAACATTTCTCAGAAATTTTAGGGGAAAAAAAGATATAAAAAAAATACACATACAGAAAAAAAAAATTCAGTACATTAGCTCCTACAACACAATCAAAACCAGTTACTTTTGTATGCGACACAGCTTCTAATGTACAAAGTACATGCACATTCACAAGCGCTTAACAAGTTACAATCTCTGGAACAAAATGTTCAGTGTATTGCACAAAAAAAGAGTCTATAAAAAATAAAACCAATAAAAAAAATGAATGCACTATCCACAGTTGGTCCATGTTGGTCCATGTGGCTCAGTCTAGCCCAGGGTTTTTTGGCCTCTTGACACTGAGCAGTTCAGGGTTTAAAACAAAGGCCTCAGTAGTAGTAATGCTGCATCTCTGTCCAACTTGTGATCCAATACTTTTTCTGTGGCTCCTCGGGCTGAAACCCCAGATTGAACTGATAACGCTCAGCCCTGCGAATTTTCACTCCCTGGTGTTTTGGCATTATTCTGTAGTAGATGGCTCGCTTGAAGAAGCCAAGCTAGCAGGAAAAAAAAGAAAGGAAGAAGGTGACATTAAAAAGTTTGAGAGCTGAGTTTTTTAATGGCTTAAGAAGAAGATTTAGGATTTAGAAGCTGAGTAGATTCACGCTGACAGAGACAGAAATACGCACTACCCTGCTGATTAAGGGAGGATTCACATGTGTGTGTTCCTTTAAGGTATATCCTCTTATACAGATACCTCGGAAGTCAGATGTCAATCCTTGGGAGTGATGTCACTTCCAAGGTGACTGCATTCCAGTTGTAAAGTTGGAAAAGCACGTAAAAAATGTTTTTGTTCTGCTTCTTAGCAAGGTAGAGCCATTCATTCATTTATTTAACCAGTCATAAATACACAACGTTGGCAGCAGAGATGAAATGTTTTACATTTTTGCTACTGTTTTTCTTCACTGCCACCATCTAGTCAAGTTAGGGTTGGCTACTTTGGTGTGTTCCAGATGAAAACTCTGAAATTCCATCTTCCAACTTAATCTGGAATGCACTAAGAGTTGCTGGTGCAATCATCGATGTGGCATCAACCAATCAGTCCCAAGGCGAGCTAACAGAGCTTGAATAAGCATTTAAACAAGCTAGCTGTCTGTTAGCTCTCTTTGTTCATATGCTACATGGTGATTATTTATAGCAAGCATAAACGTCACCAGTTTCAAGCCAAACAAAAAGCTGTGCAAGCAACTTCCATCTCTCTTAATAGCATTATTATTTTTATTATTATAACATTATTTTTCTCAAGTATTCAGCAAAGCAGCGCAAGGAAAGCCAGGCAGTGTATATATGTATATGTGAATCCTCCCCAAGATGGAAAAGAAGCAGTGAAAAAAGTTAGCCATACAGAGATCAACAGTGCAGTGTTAGCCTGCAAGGAAAGCAGTCGAAGTGGTTAGTTGAATCACATCCCAAGCTCGGTGCTGTCACTGACAGCATCTACAGAAAAATCCTTTCAAAGGGGTGTTTTTACCCAAAAGCCCCAATGGTGTATGCTGTTGGGAGACATGGGGCCTCAGTAGTCCTCAGTTAGCCTCTCTGTCTCAGAGGGCTGGATCTTCATCTCAGCCTTCTGGGCCTTGGCCTCATACATCTCCCTCCTGCTGGCTCTCTGGAAGAAGCCACACTGGAGGAAGGCGCATGAATTCCGGGGTTAGACTAAGGTGTCAAAACAGAGGTTAAAGCTCAATAAAACACAATCTCACCTTCCATAGTATAAGAATGATGATTCCTAGCAGTGCAATTCCTGCTACAGCTGCAGAGATGATGATCCACAGGGGAAGCTCATAGGGCGTCTCCACCCTTTCCTCTGGTTCTATTTGTACTTTGAACTACAAGAAAAGTGAAGAACGTAATATATTATCATATCATAAGCATCATTTTCATTCCTGCCATCATCATCACATACCAAGGCCGTCTGACTCTCCATCTTGATGTTTGATTGATTATTAATAAGCTTCAGTGTGGCTTGGCCTTTAACTTCAACTACAAATGCATCAGAATAGTCCTGTAGGCACACACAGACACAACATCAGAACATTTTCCCAAATGTCAGGGCATAAACAGTAAAATAGGATTGTTATTTCAATCTGCACTTATTTATATTTGGTCATATAGCTCTTTTCTAGAATAAACTCCTTCCACATGTGTACAAGGAAAGCATGAGTGGGTAGGAAGCACCTTCCTGCCCTTCTATTTGCACACATGGAAATCCTGAGGCACGGACATGCCAGAGAAGAACACAGACAGCAGATATCACAGTGATCAAGAGAGACACAGCATGAATAGAAGACAACGTGTTAAAGTGTGAAGAAGCTTACACAGCACCTTGCCAAGTGAGTTTTTGGCCTACCAGATCTAACAGCACACTTGATATATAATTAAAAAATCTCCATGAATCTACAATATATATTAGCTGGGGAGCTCACCTCTAACATTGTACTATTCCACAACCGGGATCGGACATAAATCGTGGCTGAATTCGAAACATTGAGCAGCGGGCAGGTAAACGTCACACACTTTGCTGTCCCCTTGGAGCAATCCTTTAACAGGCCATAAGAAAGAAACTCTATTAGAGAGTGAACAGATACTGACAGTTAAGACTAGATTTAAAAAGAAAAATCCTATTATCTACAATGGATGACTCAATTTGTATATTAAATGTTAATGCTACTGACGTTGGTATTTGCCACAGTGTGAGGTTGTCAGTCCACTTATTTTGAAAGATATTAAATTCTGTACACAAGACTCCTCACATACAAATGTCACACATATACGCATGATTATGTTAAGGGAATATAAAGCTAGGACTTACCAACTGGTACCTCTTTTTGGGAGTAGAAGACAGTGTGACTGCTGCCTGTGGCTCAATAATATTTGAATGGGTCACGTCATTCTCACCTTCAACTCTAATCTGTCGCTTAGTACGCTTAGGTCTTCTCTCTGACAACTGCAAGATGGGAGAAAAAAAAGAAGAAAGAAAAAGGAAGAAAAAAGAGGAAACAGAGGAGACAGAGACATTACATCAGAGGGTTAATTACTGGTTTGATAAAGACATTATTACATTTTTCTCAGAATAGCATTGTCATTTCAGCTGTCTATATATAGGCTGCATACACTATGGCTTTCTATTTTGGGGCTTTGTGAGGTCTGTGTGTAGCGACAGATGTTTTTTTCCAAAATGTATTTCTGAACAGTGGTTTGGCATTAAGACCATTTTCACACCACTTTTCTAAAATTGACATTTATTCACACTGCGCTGACTTGAGTTCATGCTGACATCGGCTTGAGCAACACTCGTAACAAGTTGATGACCCACCTAGCTTAATGAATTCATGCTAATGGATTTCTCAAAGGTTAATATTTGAGAAATTGTATTTAGAGGTAAGGTTCATGGGTTTAAAATATATCTCACAGTTTATGGTTCAGTACTTGATGTTTGTTTAAAAAATGTAATGATAAGCCTTGGCTGTACTTTCTGTTTAGTGCTAATGAGTAAAAGCTAGCATGCTAATGTGCTAAATAAAGATGGTAAGTGAATTAAACATAAGAACTTTAGCTTATTTGGATGCTGATGGAATTTAACTCAGAGTATATGTCATATATTTACCTTTAAACTGCTGTTTAATTCTCTGCGTCTTTTGACACTGCCAAAGAGACTATGGAGTCCTCCTTGTTTAGATACCGCAGTCGTTGGTCAAACTATTCTTGACACTGTCACTTCTGTTCTAAACTGAAACCTAAACAATGGCTGAATGAAACCGTTCGCAGTGTCAGATGAGACCGCAGGAAAACAGAACATCAATAGCAAAAGGTAAAGTACAACTGTTTTTTGATATTCTTAAGGAAAACTTCACGTTGTTATCAAAGACCTGTAAAAGCTGAAAAAAACCAAGTAGATAATATTTTTAACAACTGTCACAGACGCTTAGTGAAATTAACTCTTTGATTAAAATCCCTCAACTTACTTAACTCATGACATGTTTCAACGAGGTACACCGTTTGTTTTTTTTTTGTTTGTTTTTTCCAGTTTCACTGATTGCTATGTGGAGTTCCCCAAGGTTCGATTCTGGGGCCAGGCTTGTTTTTTTACCTTTACAATTTACCCCTAGGATCCATTTTAAAAAGACATGGCAGTTCTTTACACTTTTATATTTATGATCATCAAATTTACCTACCCTAAAAAGGTCTTTAAAAAACACAGAGTGTTTCAGGGACATCAAACCCCTTGATGGCTCTATATTTTTAAATATTCAATGACAGTAAAACTGAGGTTGTGATACTTAAACCCAGTGATGCTGGCATTGCCTCAAAATTGGGCTCTGTGGAACCTTATATTAAGCCCACTGTAATCAACTTTGGAGTTCAAGTGAACTGTGATTTTAAACTGGATAAACATATATCCATAAATATACAGCTTTATCCATCGTCAGATCACTTAGTGATTTTGAGAGTTATAGAAGTGTTTATTTGTATGTAAAGCGTATATTTTTTAATTATGTTTTTACTGTGTGAAATTAATATTTTTGGTCAGTTTTTTAATGTGTTTTATAAATAAGGTTGCATCAGACTGAACTGGATTGAAGGTACAGCTAGCCTCTCTGTATGGCTTCACAGAGAGGCTAGCATAGATGTTGACTCATTTTTATGTGACGCTCAAGTTTTTGAATGTCTTAAAAGTTTGATTTGTGTATTTTTTGTTGCTGTTAAGTTTTTGTTTTTGGTCTTACTCTGGGTCATCTTCACAGATATCACACGTTTCAAAAAGTGTTAAAAAGAACCTTACAGTTAGGTTAAGCATGTTGACCACATTCCCAGGAGGTTTACACTCCGTTTCAGAATCCCCCTGAACAACAATCTTCGTCAGGTACAGCAACCACTTGCCGTTTGCTACCTCACAGGGCCACTCAAACTCCACAGCCAGGGTTGCTATGTCTTGCAGCGATTGTCCCATTGTGTTCATCTAGAGGTGGAGGCAGTCAGAAACATTAAAAATAGAAGTGAAATACATCAGATGGTATGAAATAACAACATGGTGACTGTAACTCCTAAACAGTATCCACCCCTGCTCACACTTAAACCACAAACCATGGCTGACACAACAATCCACAGCCGACGCAATATTAAACTTCTGAAGTGCTGGCTTCAAAGACAGGGTGGGGATGAGGGAAATGTGGGTGAGTAACACACATTATAGATACAATGTACAATCTCTGAGTGGTGAAGATGACTCACAGTAAAGGTGAACTCCACCAGACTGCCCACGTCACTTGTGTTGACCATGGCTGACTCGCCCATCACTGTCCCACCAAACTTTACTGTTTCCACCTGTGACTTTTCACTGGATAAGCTAAAAGACAGATATGTTTCACACAGTGTAAGTAAACAAACTGTAAGGAGGGTAATATGATGCACTGACCATTTTATTTATCTACCCTTTATGTACAACAGGGGTTCTCAGATTTTTTGATGACCGAGTACCGATTTAGGGAGATGGTTGATGGAAGGAAGCAAAGAACCCTCCCCCAAAAAACCACATAAAAAAACCTAAAAGTCCTCTAGGGGCACGGGAGACATGCCTAACCTAACAGATGTATAAGAAATATAGTAAATGCAATGCATATACGTCCCATGATGCCTGTGATTACTCTCAGTAATCAGGTGGTTTATGTGCTAAATACCTGCATTACTTTGAATTTGAAATACAGTATGTCATGAAACATTTGCGATTGGGACTTACAAGCTGAAGACTGGATTAATGGTGTTTTCAATCAGCAAGGCCATAGGAACAGGCGTTAGGTCACTCTGCTCACTAAGACTGGAGAAATTACAACAGTGTGCATTATCTTAAAACAGCTTAAAATTTTAAACTTCATTAAAAAAAATGCAAAAAGCAGAAAATGAACTTAATTATTATACACAACAGTATTATATTGACTTGTTTTCCCTGTTTAGTATTAAGCAGGAACAAAATACAATGTGCAACCAACATTATAAAGTCCTTACGTTGACAACAGCAGCTGACACTCAATCTTTCGTGTGTGTAGGGTGATTCCTGAGGTCTCAAACTTGAGCAGGAAAGACACCTATTAATAAAGCAATGCAAGCACATGAGAACTGTTGCAAACCCAACTGTCCAGTAGAAAAAGATAAAAATAATTGTCACCTGTTCAAACCTACCTTTTCGTTTCTGCTAATTGGATTCCCCACCTCACAAATGACTGTATCAAGAAGAGTGCACTCAACTTTGTTATTCTAAACACAGAAGAAATAAACAGAATTAGTTTTAACTTTTAAGGAACTGACATGACCAGCGATGTGGCTAAACATGACCAAACCAAACCAATACAGTGTGCATCTTGTAAGAAGAGTAGCATTAAAAAACAAAAGGAGATTAAAATAAAAATGGGCATCTTCTGCCCTCCAGTGGACCTACCAAAGAACTGACACTGGCATATTTCAGCACATCAGGGATAGTGACATTGAGCACGACTCTGTGGGCGTCTTCAGCTAGCTTCCCTTCAGATTGATAGTTGGTAACGTTTACCGCGAGCCCTATTTTCTTTATGGAGCTGTTGAACTGGAGCACTTGAACTTTGCCCTGACTGTAGAGGGACAACATGTATTAGCTTTGTTATTTAATGATTATTTTGATTGACTAACACATTCATGACATAGCAATAACAAAAACAAACAACAAATATGGCTAACGATGGCTAAAGTGCTAAAATGGACCTTTCCAATGGGAGTCCATAAGCAAGGGGGAACCCTCACAATTTCACACATTTCACTTTGTTTTCTTTGTGCTAAGCTAATGGTAAGCTGGTACTGGTGGTAGCTTCATATGCATTAGATATATACATGAGCACTGCAACAATCTTCTAACCTAACTGAGCAAGCTAACTAGTGTATTTTAACCTTTAAAAGTCAGCTTTGTGTCTATACATGAATGACTCAAAGGATGCTTGGTTGCTCACTATATAAATTTACCTGGGAAAAGGCTTTTCTTCATTTTCTTCAACAAACTTTGCTGTTAGTTGCAGGTTACTGGTACATTTGTTGTCTGAGCCACACGCCTTTTGAAAGTGAATCTGCAGGAAATAGAATAAGCAACATCATATCAAATCTTACAAGGGGACACTGGACCGTACCATTTCTTTACCATCTCCAAGTTACTGAAAAGGAAACCTGTAAATGAAGTGCATGCAAGACTCCATACCTCAGTTCTTCGGCTGGATTTCTGCTCTGGGCTCAAAATTGGGAAGAAGTCCAGGTTCTGTGGGGCTCGTCTGGCTCTAGGTATTGGTTCGTATAGTGAGAAGTTGAGGAAAAAGACCACTGGTTCCAGTTTGTCCCTCACAGGTTCCTGTGAATTAATTAAAGAGTTTCTTTTTGCTTGTCTCAATAAGCACAGGACTATCAGGTAGCCGCAGTTTATTTGTTCTCTCCAGTCACTCAGCAAGATGATCATTTGCAAATAACACAAAATGCACGGCTCAGTCAATACAACATCTGCAATAGTTGCGTTGCGCACTTACGACTACAAACAGCTTGAGAGTTTCACACGCAGTTTTGGAAGATGTCATGGTCAGGTTGCCAGTGTAAGTGTTGATGTCATTCTGAAAACGAACACGAGAGCTTCCTCTTCTCTCCCTGTCGGCCTCTACTATATACGTCACCACTTTACAGAGTGAAAACAAACAGAAAAGATTAAAGCAAGCTCATGCAGTAAATAAAGTTTTTTTTTTCTTACAAAACAAAGAATTTCCATGGTGATGCACTTGTTTGTAAGTTGGAAACACTGTTCATTTGAAAAAGAAAATTGAACACGGAAAAACTTACTGACAGGTTTCTTGAAATTTGTATTTCCGGTGCTTAGAGTGAAAGACATGCACAGAGTAGCTGTAATGCTGTGAAGCACAAAGAGAAAGAGAAGAAGAACTGAGACCTGAAAAAACACTCAATAAGCCAGTTTCAGAATGACATAAATTTAGGAGACATCTCACCATGGTTTATCTCCAGAGCACATTTTATCGTCCACAATCTTAGGCTCGACAGTGAAGTCTTGGGTTAAGTGCACAACCGGTCGAGCTCTTATTTAAAAAGCAAAACAGAACAAAACAAATAAATTAATCATTATAATAATAATAATAGGAGAAATAACTCCATGAATACTGAAACATAATAGATGTCATAAAAATAGTTTGTCGTAACTTATGAGACAAATGTCACTGTAGAAAATCGCTATATATTATATATACACTCACTGGCCACTTTGTTAGGTACATTTGTTCAACTTCTTGTTAATACAAATAATAGACAGTCACATGGTAGTGATCAGCCCACAACCTTCCAGCAGAATAACGTACTATGACACTACGTCAGAAAGCTCAACAAAGACTTCGCTGCACTCAAATGATACCGAGATCACAATAAAATTGCCCAAAGAGCACCTCTGTGTTGTGGTGGAACAGCAGGTGAGGATTTACATCATGAATGTGCAGCCGATACATCAGCAGTGTGTGTTATGCTATGATGTCAATAAGGGGGTCCAACTAACATGGAAATATCTTGTTTAACTTTGTTTTTGATTGTGTCTACCTGAGGAGGGCAATGTGATCATCCAGAGAGCCAACTAATATATCAGGGTAACTGTTATCATCTACGTCCATCCCTCCGCTGATGGAGTAGCCGAAGGTCTGGAATTTTTCACCAAACGTCCCACCCATAATGGTCTGCAGAGGGAGTCATTGACACAGGTTTTCAGAAGAGTACTTTGAATAAAGTTTTTAAATGACCACAGAATGTCATACATTACCTGACTAGGCTCCCTTGATATTCCCTTTTTGCTTCCCATCCATATGTAGACCATTCCTGTCTGGTGGAATGGCGCTCCAACAGCAAAGTCTGGAGACATTAGCATTACAGTTAAACAAGTACTGGAAGCATGACAAGAAAAGATGCTAGAAAAGAAAACTAGGCACTCTTTGTGTATAGGAAATATTTGTCCTCTAGGTGGCAGCAGACAATGTTTTCAGGACTCATTTGAAACACGACAAGTTAAATACCTCTTGTTTGCAGCTGAAATGATTTCAAATTACAGAAATATTCCTTTAGCGTGCTTTATGCTCACACCACAGTTTACCTGTGGTCTGGTGCACCACTTTGATTTCACTTTTTTAAACTAGAATATTATCAGATGTAGGTCCAAAAGAGATGCTGGGTTCATGGTCACACCTTGGAATCCGTCTTGGTTGATGTCGCCAATGGCGGCCAGTGCAAGGCCAAAGGCAGAATCAGATGGGCCCTTCAAAACCATTGAGGCGGTCTTCTGGAAAAATCCATTCTCGTTCATGAAAATGTACACTGCTCCCCCCACTTCATTCTTACGGTCAAAGTAAAAGGGGGCACCCACAATCAGGTCATTCCAACTAGAATATGCAAGACAAAAATCCACATATGCATGTAAATACAAAAATACATACACATGGCTAAGTATAGCTAAACATTCAACACAAGTCACCAAAGGTATATTAACTGCATCTCAAAAGAATGTACTACCTAGAATCTTAATGACCAACTAGATTTCTAGATAGAGAAACACCTGATTTCTTCATAATTTCAAAGTGAATCCCTCATCCCTGCCACAGAAAGTCACTATTATCATCTGTGTTCAGACACACACTGCTTCACTGTTATGCACCATATGCATAAAAAGGCAAATCACGTCCCAATCTATGTGAAAAAAAAAATCATTGTTCATTTCCCCACAGTTACACTCTCCGGTGTAGAAACGCACCTGTCATTGTTCAGATCTGTCACTGCCAGGCTGTTTCCAAAGTAGGAACCCACTTGTTCCCCAAGGATGATCTGCTCCAACAAAAGCTTTGGTTGAGTTTTATTTGAAAAAATCACAGCACCCTTAGACTCATATCTGGGAGCCCCTGTCACAACTGTCGAGTCATCATAGCTCAGGAGCTTCTTTTCTTCGAGAACTGAATAACCTGTGAATGAAAATGATTGAGAATCAGAGATGCTGTTTTTGACAATTGGATGCTTATCTGACAGTAGGGAGATTGAGTGTGAATCTCACTAAGGTTCCCAATTATTTGCCATTTGAAATGTTGTAAAGACACACCAACACTTACCTATATAACTATATGCTTTCTCTAGACTTTCAAAGCTTTTGTCAGCATAGTTCCAGGGGTTTTGTGGATCTATCCGTATCACATGAGCATCTCCTTTAAAACAAAGCAGAATCACACAACAATGTTAAAATCAGCTTAATACACAATTCAAGAGTATCCAAGACATAACACAATCCAATCAAATCCAACAGACTTGCACAGCGTGCAAATAATGAGTAACCCCATTATTTCAGCAGTAGGCAAAACAGGTTAGCTCGACAGTTCCCACCTTGCCAATTGTAGCTGCCCGGAGAGCCTAAATAGACATCAGTTTCCGATATACCGCCTGAAATGCCCATGTTGCACATGCCGTCCAAGTTGTGGTCGTTGTTGGGATTGCAGACGTCATAATTTTCATCCTGCCACTGATCCTCTTGGTCAAAGGTCAGGTCATTACTCCTTACATAACATTTTCCTAACATCCGCCACTGATTCTCTGACATTACCTTCACATATCGATGTCCGCATGCCTGGAGACCAGAGAAAGTACTGAAGAAGTGCAGTGTGTCATATCAGAAATTGACAGTGCTCAATTCAGTGACTAGGAAAAACAGCTTCAAGTAAACTGAAGAATCTCAAACATCAATATAATGAAACCAGTGTCGCTGCTTTTTAATTTACACAATGGAAACGGTCCTCCCTTTGAGCAGTTACACAAAATAATCATTTTCTATGAGCCAGATATCAATTTTAGCCTTCTAAAAGAAGTTTAAACAGTCAAAGATGTTTGAAACATGCTAAAATTAATTTCTTCCTGATAAAAGGGAGTTTTTCCGTCCCACGGTCACCAAGTGCTCACTCATAGGGGGGTGTCTGATTGTTGAAGTTTTCTCTGCAGGGTCTTTTCCTCTTACAATATAAAATCATTTAAGATGACTGCTGTTGTGATCTGGTGCTATTTAAAAATAAATATAAAAAATATATTTAAAAAAATGCATTAATATGTAAGATAGAAAAATAAAAACATGGAGATTACACCAATTAGTGCTTGAACAAAAACTGAAACATATTGACAAAGACAGACTAGGAACAACATGCTGTTAGTTTCCCCTCACTGTAAGTAAAATGTGTTCTCCAGTATATTGTAATTGTCTAAAATGTAAAAGTAATAAAAAAAATCACTTGATCAAAATATAATTTCTCCCTAAACATGAGACATTATTGCATTTTCTCCCTGTGTGTATCATCCTGTCTCAGGTGTGTGTGTGTGTGTGTCTACAGTAATTAAACATCGCAACAAGTCAAATGTGTCATCTCTTAGACTAAATAATAAAAGAAAACATCCTGTGTGTCAGCTCACCCTGCCTTGTACATAATATCACCGGTAGTAGTGACTCATAGAAGGAAAACAGGAAGTCATCTTACCAACACGCGTCCATCTGGCTGGCCCTTCTGACTGGACACTGTCACACCCAACCACATGCCCTCCACAATCTCAGAGGTAGTTGCTGTGGATGCGTCATAAGGAGGTAGGTCAATTATTAAAGCAACTGTTTTAATTTGTCATCAGGCTGGTGCTGACAGGAAGGTCATTACATACAGAGTAATTACCTTTTTTTCTGCTTTATAATGTTCCCTGTTTTACTTCTTGTTCTTTTATTTCAATAGACCATTTACAACCAGATTTCTATTTGCCATCGTACACTAATCAAATCAAACCAGCATGCAGTACAAAATCAACCATTCCAGACTATTTATTACATTAAAAGAAACATTCAGCATGGCTATGGTGATCACAGTCATCAGAACACCTACTCAAACTGTAAATGCAAACCTTCATGCAGCCTGGATCATGCCCTGACAAATATTAACCACAAAAATGTGCTGAGACTGCAGCAGCACTCATTCTAACCTCAACATGAAAAGTGATTCAGAATCCTCTTATTATACCATTTGCCCCTAGGTTTGGATGGGAGGGGGGTGGGGTCTAACATTTAATAACAGTCTGTTCATGTAAAGGTGGACAAAATAATTCCAAATGCTCCAAAGGATGCTTGATGATTTTACTGAAATGATCTGACACAGTTCTTTAGTCCTTACTGTAAAATGAGGAAGCTAGCTAGTGTTCATTTAAAGGTTATTATTTTTTGTTCCTCACATTAGTTACATCCTTTTGAGGCCCTGCGCAGGGGAAAACCAGTTTTAACACGTGAAGTTCACTGAGGGAGTACAATCCTAAATAGAGCTGAGCTGTGAGTCTCCTATGGCTGTGTGAAGTAAGCGTTGTAGAACAATCATATGAGCGATTCCTAAATTTTAGTTTAAACCCAAACTGGTTCTGAACAGTGTGCTAAGTGAGGAAGGAGGGTTTTAAAAATTGTACGTACAACATGCAGTCTGGGTTTTTTTTTAAATTTGCTTCTGTTGGAGATCTCTGCGTTTGCTGTTTCATTTTGCACCACCATCTGTTATGTTTGCATCAAATCTATGGAAGTGCTATACAAACTCAGTTGAGGTGCTTTTAAAGTATTGTGAAAGACGGCTCCTCGCTGGTGCACTGAATATGAAAATCTTCAGAAATGTTCAAAAGCGCTCTCACTCACCATCGATCATCAGAATACCAAATAAGTGAACATCTTTAAGAAGAATGGTGTTCAATCTCATCATTATTTTCCTTACATATATAGAAGTATTTTAAAGGAAACCCCCCTCGAGCTCGCTAAAATCTCTTAATGGAACAGTTCAGAAACAGCTACAACACTGCAACCATGCATTCCCTTCATCACATCAGTGAATCTTACTCGAGGTAACCAGGTCCATTCTGGAGCAGTCAGTGGTGTCGGTGGTAATGGGACAGAAGTAGACGGCGCCTGTTTCATTGACTTTCGGTAGAGATTGTGCTTTTTCTTTGGGCGCACCTATAAGAAGCCTACAAAGGCACAGAGGAACACAGAAAGAACAAAAACACAGAAAAAACAAAGAGAGAAAAACAGAAAGAAAGAGACAAACAATGTATGAAATCACAATGGAAGTGTGGCACAGTGTTAGACAAAGCTATGACACTATCAGCAACGGTTTATCAGATAACCTTCGAGACACAAAAAAAGCACACCATGCAGCTTAACAAGTCAATCATTTATATTTCACCTCTTGAAATTGAGCTATTTGTATATATTACAGCTATTTATTATTTTTCTAAATGTTCTAACATATTGTATTATTTAACTAGTTCAGTCTGTTACTGTTGTTGTCTTGGAGGAACTGTAACTCACATTATTTCCTTAAGGATTATGAAAGTATTCTGATTGTGATTAAAGGCACAACTTTTATGCACAGCATTTACCCACTTAGAGTGTGTGACGTGACCTGGGATGTTAAGATTCAGGGTCTAAACACACACAAAAAAGCAGACTCATTTCACAAGAAAAGAAAGAGTGAAGCAGTCGGACCATGACCTGACCTGTGACAAGCTTGGGCAGCGTACACACACACGCACACACCCCCATGCACGCACACACACATATATAGAGAGAAATTTGCTTCTTGGCTCTTTTTGTCCACTCATCGAGACACTCCCTGCATCTGCACCTCTTACCACACCACAGAGCTTTGAAGTAAAGAGATTACTGCTCTCTGAGGCTCTGTGCAGGAACACACCATTTACCGACAGCAGAAGATTTATTAGCTCCACTTTGTGGGCGAAAGGTGTGGACAAGCTAGTTTACAATATGTGAGCGAGTGACATACGCATGAAATGAAAGCACTCAGTGCTTTGGTCAAAGTGGGTAACACAAGCATGTCATTCTTCTCATTTTAGCGTCCTGAAAATGATTTCAGTGCTGTCAGTGCTGACAATGAGTTATCAGTATTGTGGGAAAGAGTAGAAATAGAAAAATAAGTAAGTCAAGATGTTCACGATTGTTGACCTAACTGCGAGTATAGTGGGAATCCAGCTTTCTCTCTTATTCACACTGACAAGTTAGAATAAATAAAGGTCCCAAATGTAAAGTTAAAAATAAGTCTTCACAGTAAAATCACTGTACTTTCAAATCCCACTTTCTCCCACGAGTCAGCCTGGGATTACTCCAACTTGGGGAGAGATTATTTCTCCTGAAAGATGAATCACAGCAAAAGGCTGTGCTATGAGCAGGAAATCACTGAACAGGGTCTGTTAGCACTTGCTCTTGGTTAGTCATACCTGATTAAACACTGCTCACAGGTTTCGTGGTTTTTCAATCTGTTTAAACACAGCGAGCCCATGTACCAGGCTCCACCACTCCACCACAGTCGTCTACATATATACACACATTCACAGTGATATTAACATTAACATGCCCCTATAAACATTTACAATCTTAATCTGACTGCAGGCCTAAGAGCATAGACAAAATTATTGTCTCTTTGATGTCTCACCTGAGCCTGCAGAGAGTCAGACATGTAAATTAGTCACATGGCCCGACTTCCACTGATTTTAGATCAAATTACTCTAAAAAGTATATGAATTGTGGCACATAAGCTGACAAAACACTGAACTCAGATCAGACACTGTGGCACACATAGCTAATTCCTTGACATTAATCAGATATGTTTATAGGTAAGTTGAGACATCATCCCTTTCGTTTTATGAATGCAGTATAACAGCACCGGCACCAGCACAACCACTTCTCAGTATGACGACAACCACAAAGAGACAAGACGGCTGCTGAGGGCCAACAGTTTCCAGGTTAAACTGTCAGAGGAGACCTTGGGTGTGGTAATTATTCAGTAATGTGGACAGTAAATAAGATACAAGATACCACAGAGGTTTGTAGTGGTGGATGGACCTAACAGAAACATGGAGAGGAGTCCCATTCAGTGTGGCGTTGACATTCTTTTGTTTATCGGTGTAGATATCTGTGTGTGTGTGTGTGTGTGTGTGTGTGTGTGTGTGTGTGTGTGTGTGTGTGTGTGTGTGTGTGTGTGTGTGTGTGTGTGTGGTCTTACACTACAGATTAACTAAGCCGATGAGAAGCGGGCGTGTAAAACTGTTGTGTTTTTGAGCCGCAGGACACAGTGTCCCAAAACACTAACTCAGATATTATTGTAAAGCCACACAAGGCCTCATGGGAGCTTTATCCAAAGCACTCATAAAGGGAATGGCGTCAAGCCGGAGACTGGGCAAACTTGACACACAGATAGCAGTTTGAACTTTTCTCACTCTGAATAGAAATCATGAGGAAGCAAGGTAGGGTACAAAGTCCAGTATTAATCATGCATGCTTTAGGGCATTTGAAGATCTTGGCTAGCAGGCTGCTGATTGCAGAAAACTAGAAAAAAAAATACTGTCATCATCTTACTATCTCAGTGGTGCCATGTGGGTCATCGGTGTTTGTTGTTGAAATTTAACAAAGCTGTGTGATACCATCACATCTAACACAAGACGGGTTATCAGCTACCTTAGGTCCATGTACGTGCTACATGAACATTTAAGAACAGGTTGACAATTCGGCTAACTGACAAATGTTAGATGAGAATTCCACGTGTCAGGCAAATATGAACAATCAATAAATATTTTTTTAAATATCATTTATTGTCAATACTGGAGGATAATATATATCATATATTAGGCTATTTGTCATTAGAGAAAAGTGTTGCAGATTGCAAAATACAAAAGGTTTACCAAAAGGCCTTTCTCCATAGCTTCCAGTGTATGCTATGTTGTGTATAGGACTACATAAACAAAAAATTGTACCAGACACACGACACAATGAACCTACCCCTGTTTTTAAAAATAAATGAGACGCAGGGTTAGCTCAAAGGTTCAAAGGGCTATCTTTATAGTCAACCAGTCTAAAACGCTGCACAAGTCACTGTAATAAATAATATCTATGTTTTAGCTTTAGTTTGACTGCTAGAAGATTTTTGAGATGATACCAATACATGCTCATAATTTTGATATATTGACTAATATATCATGTCCCTGCTTTCATGTCCCTGAAAGCAGGTACATGTGTCAGGACATGACACATAAACGGATCTCCCTAGCAACATTTATGCGTAGTTATATACTACAGATGAATTAGACAGGCTCTAGTTTTAGCATCTTTTAGCAACTTTTCTTTTTAGTGTTTTTTTTATAATTCTTTGATCGAGTTAAATCCTGCGGTAGAAAATTTAGGGAGATGAATGTCCTTCCAAGATGTGTCAATGCTTGACGCGTGCATTTATGTTCATATTTGGCCCCTACATGTCATCTCCTGCTTGTTAATGTATCACTGGGCATGTTTGATTGTTTCTGACAGGCCATAATGACCCTAATCCCACTGAGAAATGTCCCAGTGCTCCCAACAATCAGACTGCCACTGTTAATTTTTAATGTAAACACATAAGAGTAGCTACTTTTGGCAAAAAAAAAGAAAAAGAAAAAAAAGAACGAGCTTAATTTCCAAAATTCCAAAGTTTCGCTTGAAAAATGACCTTGATATCCTCATGATCATGGATGCATGGAGGACAATAATAACTGAAGGTTTTCACTTTTTCAAGTAATGCAGCACAGAACCATAGACTAAACATCATTACTAGCCCGTCCTTCACATTCCTGATCTTGAGTGAACAACTTGCAAGAAAATGTCAACTTTTTCATTAAAAGCAGATCTTTTTTTTGTTTTTGATGAACCCACATTTCTCTGTTGCATATGTAACCCTCATAAACTTGGCGTACAACTGATTAACAACGAGGTGACTCGCACGTCATATCCCGTCCTGTCCTAGCTGTGTGCTCTCCTCCTTATCGCCTTTCATGCTCATCACCTCCTCATAAACAGGCTGTCAAAGGCTCGGCTAAATGGAAAGGGAGAAGCAGGCAGCTGCATTCCAACTCCAGGACATGTTGCAATTTGCCCCTTCTGTCTAAGAAGTCATCCAAAAGGCTGGCTAAACCAAACATTTACTGTTTGCACCCAGCTAGGGGTGGGCGATAGTGATGTGTCGGTCGCGAACGAAATGGCTCTTAGAGCCGGGTCTTTGACGTGAACGACGCGAGCCGGCTCCTTATCGCGAGCCGTGTTTTTTTTTTCTTCTGTTTCTCTCACCCTTTCTCGCACTTTTATTCCACTTCACTCCGCATGCGAGCCATGTGCTTTGCGCTGGGCAGAGGGGGGAGGGGCAGTAGTTACACTCGCAGTAGCACAGGAACAGAGCGGGAGGGAGAGACAGCGAAAGAGAGCCAAGGACAACAACGCCACATTAGAAAGGTATAGTAATGGTCCACAACTATTTTCAGTTGCGGATGATAAAGGATTCAGAAAGTTTATTCATGCAGGCCCATATGACAGAGAATATGCATCGTCTTTTTGTTTTCATATTTTAATTTATATTTAATTGTGTTGCGGTTTGCAGTGTTTTGTGTTGTTTCACTTTAAATTTGTTTAAATTTAAATTGAAACAACACAAAAATGTAAATAGTTAAAAGTTGAAATGTAAATAGTTGGTTTTTGTATTATATGATTTCTTTATTACATTTTATGTGGAGTGAATAAATAAAAGTATATTTATGGTGGCTCCTAGAGACAAGGCACATACAAACTTCAAAACACGTAAAAACTACAAAACACGTACAAAACACAACAGAAGTGCTCCAGGATGTGCTCCCCCCCACAGTGTTGAGCTTTTGTTACCTAGTGGCTACACAAGCCAGGAAGTACCAACGACCGGATTTGGTGTGTGGTAGTAACAGGTAAGTGAACTTTTTTAAAATTATTATTATTTGAATATATATGAGTGCTTCTGTATAAATACACAAACAATACACATATGCTTTCAATTGTGTAATTTAACTGATCTAGGTAGCTCTGTTTTGGAAGTTCAGTTAACGCTAGAAATGTGTTTTGGAGTTTGTACGTGCTTTGTCTCTAGGGGCCACCGTATATATTTATATATATACATATATAA